TCAAGGATTATGGTAATTATAATATTGATGGTATTAGTGAATTTATGGTACTCAAGCAAACATAAGAAATTTGAGTTGCTGCCTTTTTTAATATAAAACTATGAATCAGTGGATTAAATAGCTAGAATGTAAGCAGAATGTAAGCAGAACTTACATAAACATTCATGGGAATATACGGAAAGAAGGCATCGTGCTTGACCGTTTTGGATATGCATTTGTTATGACCAGAAAGAAGTTGTGTTCCGTAGTAAACATTGACAGTGACAAAGAACTCGGTGTAATCTCTAAGATTAAGAGTTTATTAATAGAGATTTATTGCATAGGTCCACGACGCCTACCTCATCCAGTCCTCCACCAAGTTGTGCACAGAATTCACCATCACTTTCAACTTTTCTTTGCAATGCAAAATTTCCTTCTTTTGCTTGACTACAGGCTGAGAATAGCATGATCACCAGCACAATTTGTAAAAAGCAAATTTTATGTTAAATTTACCCTCAATGGAGCCAGTTTGTATGAACTAAGTGTGCAACTGCAGTACACGGAGATGAGACCATGTATTGAAGCAATAAAATCGTTTCGTGCGCACCGCAACTGATCCTTCAATACCAGAGAGTGAAGTAAAATTGTGTATGAGTGAGTTAAATGCTTACACTCGTCGCAGCCGTAAGGTAGTTCTGTAGGTACTGATGAAGATTGATTGGCTCAATCGAATTTATTAGTTTGCAAAGCATTTTTACGCACTGTCGAACTTTATTGGAAGTGGAAGAAACTAAAGAAGAAGAAGTCAGTGCACCAATCAAAAGGAAAATTTCTGCTGTAATTGAAAATAGTCATTTCGCAGCAATATCTGTGTCAAGAAAACATCCATAGCAATAATGAGACCTTGAGATAATTTGGAGTCGTAACTAACTTTTGAGGGTGGATGACGAATGGAAAGCATTTTCGTATTCAGTCATTTCAGCCTTGAGATGAACAATCATGTTTTCAATATCTTCCTTATCCAATACAGATGAATATTTAAACTGCGCCCTAAACATAGCAATCGAATGTTAAATGATAAATCAAGGACCACTCATACTTC